GGTTTGGGTCGATCTCGGTTTGGGGAGAGAATGGGTCGAGTCAGTCGAGAAAGGTGGGTATTTTGTGTAATTTTTAAGTTCTCTTTAGGGTAAAATGTTAACTAACCTATTTTTCGGATTAAAAATAAATCAAAACGAAAATCATCTAAATTGGTGTCCTTTTCAGCATATATTGGTGAAAGTGGCCTTTTCAGATAATTTCTCTCCTTCGACACGCGACTTTTGACTGTCGACTTCTTCCCGGCGCCGATCCGTCTAACCGGACCTTCCTGAGAAGCTCTCTTGCTAAATGGATCTCCGGGATTACAGCTCGCTCAGGCTTAGGGTTTCTCTATTGGTTCTCCGATTCTGATTCGACTTCTGGTTTCTTCGCTGATTGTTCATCGACTTCTGCAGCAGTCGGTGATCTGAAACCGAGATCGTTTATTCCAAAATTGGCGTTTACCTGGTTACGCCTCTCGATTCATATTCAGAGGTCAACCATCCTTTCGATGATTTTTTTTTTCCCGATGGATTAATTTGGTGACATATTTCTTCTTCTTTTGGTTGGATTTGGGAAAAACAGATGCGTTTAGAAGGAAGATCTTCTTCAATTACCGGAAGCGTTTGAGATTACAAAGTCCTCTTGAAAAGGTACATTTGATATAAATCTTTCTATTTCGATGATTACCTTTTTTGTTTGGGCATAGAACCAAACAAGATTTGAAAGTTTCGTATCATAGCAATTTACTCATCCTTGATTTGTATGTTTCAGTTTAGTTAGCGTCAATTGGTAAGATTTTTGTTTGTTCATTTGATCATGTTTCTCCATTTTAGATGATCATTATAAATCTGGAAGATTTGATTTTGTTAGTTTTGATTGACTTTTGCCGCTGTGGAATGAGACTTATCTTTATTTTGACAAAGTAGATCCAAAACAAACATACTACTTGTTAAAAGTATCTCCAAGGTCGTGCTTTGACTCATGCCATTGGAAATTTGGACATTCAAGGTTATGAGGAGGCACTTTTGAGTTACCATTCATCTTTGTAGACTTGGGACACTGATATTTTTTTTCTGATATCGTTCCATTGGAGATGTTTGAGATTTTTAAGTCGTGAAATTGTAGGAGAAAGATGCAACTCTAGGAAATGGTGGTTTGGGGAGCCTCGCCTCGTGCTTCTTGGATTCGATGGCCACCCTAAATTTTCCTGCTTGGAGTTATGTGTTCAGGTACAGACATGGGCTGTTTAAGCAACTTATCACAAAGAAAGGACAAGAAGAGGTTGCAGAAGACTGGCTTGTGGTGATGATTATCAGTCTGGTTGTTACAATAGATCATTTTCTGAGACTAGAACTCATCGTCTTTTAATGGGAACTTGCAGAAGTTCAACCCATGGGAAATTGTCAGGCATGATGTAGTATTCCCTGCCAGATTTTTTTTCGGTAATATGCAGATAAATCCGAATGGATCGTAAGTATTACTGTTGGAACTTACATGACTGAACATATGTATGACTTAAAATTTTGCTATGTATTCTCTGACTTTTCATTCATATTGATATTAAGCATTTCAGTGGATCGTTTGGCCATTTTGCAGGCGGAAGTGGGTAAGCGGTGATGTTGTACAAGCTCTTGCTTATGATGTGCAACGAAAAACAGAATCAGTCTCCGCCTCTGGGAAGCAAAAGCTAGAGCAGAGGATCTTAACCTTTTTCAGTTCAAAGAAGGAGAATATGAATTGGCTGCACAGCTCCATTATCGAGCTCAACAGGTTATAACTCGCATCTACACATAAAGCTTCACCCTGATTTATTGCTTTTATGGCTTTTTGTCTCTGTAACAATGAATTTATTGTATGCAGATTTGCACTGTATTATATCCAGGATATGCTACGGAGAATGGGAAACTATTATGGTTGAAACAATAGTTCTGTATCTGCAATGCTTCGCTTCAGGTTTGTCAGTTTCCTATATGTTTCTGAAACATAGTGTATAGGATTAACTTACTACTCTCTGATAGCTGGTTGAATGTCATTATGGTCATAAACGGTTGTAGTGGGCAAAATCGAAATGCGTAAACATTGCAAGCTGGCATTATCAGTCGTAAACATTACAAGTTCACTAACATAATTTCTTCCCATTGATTCTTTATTTTAGTATTTCCTTTTCACAATATAGACACCTATTGCATGATATTATATCAAGATTTAAAGAGATGAACACTGCGAAGGCAGCCGAAATGGTCAGACTTTCCAAGTAAAGTTGCTGTTCAAATCAATGACACACACCCTACTCTTGCAATCCCCGAGCTCATGCGATTGCTAATGGATGACAATGGGCTTGGATGGGACGAAGCTTGGGATGTGACATCAAGGTACTACATTTATGCATGAAACCTCTCATCTTTGCTAACAAATTTTTTCCACTTTTTATGATGGGACTTACTTGTTAAGTTTTCAGGACCGTTGCTTACACCAATCACACCCTCCTTCCTGAAGCCTTACAAAAACGGTCACAGTCTTTGCTGTGGAAGTTTCTTCCTTGTCATATGAAGATCATAGAAGAAATCGATAAGAGGGTATTTTGCTGAACATTTTAAATACTTATTTCTGTTATTTGTTGCAATAATAGGACATTTACCTTTCTGCAGTGTAGTTTGTTCAATCCATTCGCAAAACACGTGTATCCCTCGAGGATACGCTTTTCAGTTTGAGCATCTTAGATCACAGTCCGCAAATGCCATTTAGACATTTTTGTTTTGTTTTAAATGGTCATTATGGGGGTTCTTTTGCAGGTGAATGGTATTGCTCAGTTGCATAGTGATATCTTAAAGGCTGTGTTATTCTCAGACTATGTCTCTATTTGGCCAAACAAGTTTCAAAACAAGACTAATGGCATCACACCTCGAAGGTGGCTTCGTTTCTGCAGGCATGACTCAATGACATAATCACAAAGTGGTTGAAGACTAACAAATGGATCATAGATCTTGAACTAGGAACTAGTTCGGAAATCGTGTTATATGCTTATATGTTATATGCAGCCCTGAAATCTTGAACTACTAATCGTGTTTCTGCAGCCTTGAAATCGTGAATGTTGACAAAGAGGAAACTTAGTTGTATACTTGTATGTTATATGCTTATATATATAGTGATTAACTTCTGATGACTTTTGTTTTTCTTATTGAATTTTCTCATCTGTTTTTGGTGTTCAATACAAGTTGACAGCAAAGTAGCAAAGGGAGTGATGAGATACCAGCCAGGCATTATAATCAGTGTTCATATACTGATGCAATATGTCCCACTCCGCGTCCTAAGGTGAAATTGCTTGCTGAATTAAATTGGCTTCATTATGGTTGCTAAAACTTGAGCACTTGCCATTCAATGTGGTTAATCACATTTTACGTTTCATGCTTCTCATTGTTATCATCCCTCAAATCAGTACAAAGAAAAATTTCATACGGGTGTTATAAAGTTCTGATGTCTCTATTTTGAATTAGGATTCATAATCTTGTGGCAACGTGGTATCGCCCATCAACGGAGCGGACGAAAAGGGCACCGAAATCCAGAGTTTAAACTTCCAAAATCAAAGTTTATGAAGCCTCTATGTGCTCAGTGAGGATGTTGTGGTCAATGGCAAGTATCGAGAAGTAAACAAAGAAAGGCTGCATCAAGATATGGAACAAGACGCCATGGATAACTCTCGATCTTAAGGAAATGATCACCATAAAAAGATTATCGCTTTTAAGATTTTTCAACACAATCCTAGAATGTTGGAACTTCACTATTTGCTTGGTATAGTTTTGATATGCTACTAATGCCTTCTCATATATGTAGTATGGTAACAGTTTTTGGCTACATACGTTTAATCTGATGCACATTTTTTTGTTAACGATTGAATTTTAACTCTGGAAAGCATGGAATATAAAGATTTGTAATGTATCTTGGATCGGGGTATTTAAGAGCAAAAGCTAAGTTGGTCTATCCTAATTACAATTTTTAAACGGTTAAGTTAACCTTTTTGGGAAATAGATGGAGAGGAAGAAGACAAACACGTTTCATGGTTAAGTTAACCTTTTAGGGAAATAGATGGAGAGGAAGAAGACAAACACGTTGAAACATTTGCGTTTATGTTGCTTTGTCAGAGAAGAAACATAGGAGAAAGAGAAAAGAGACACAAACAACATGACTGCAGAGTTGGTTCCAATGAGTTTGGTTGATAAATTGGGGGTTTACGAGAAAATTTTGAGTTGAGGAGATGGTTAGTGACAAACAGAGCAACTTGAAGAAGAAAGATAGAGAAACGTATTAAGAGATCATAGGAGCACTTGAATCTTCGACCAAACTCCTTTATTTCTTCTATTTTGTAAATGGGACTATTTTCTAGAGAATTTAGGATCATTAATTAATGGTTTGTTATCATTATAGTTACTATTAGATTAATGGTTAATAACCAAGCTAAGATTATTAATGAAGAATCAAACATTATGTGAAAATATCATTGCCACAGGATCTTAATTACCAAGATAACATTATTAATTAAAAATTTAACCAAAAGCGCATTATATGAAAATATCATAGCCACAAGATATGTTTATTTTAAAGGGTATTAAACCCTAATATATGAGTTTAAACCCTAGCAAATGTATATAAAATATTGAATGAATTAAATGAGTGATTTGACTAAAAATTTATAGATTTTAATGGGTACTAAACCCGAATATGTGAGTCTAAACTCTTACAAATATACACAAAATATTGCATGATTTAAAACGATTAATTTGACTTAATTTGTCAATTTTAAGAGTGTTAAACTCCAACATGTGAGCCTAAACCCTGACAAATCTGTATACAATATTAAATGATTTAATAAGATTGATTTGACAAAAAAAAGTGGCAAACCTAAAAACTTAATAAAGCTTTTACAAATCAAACTAATTATTAAATAAATGGACTTACCTTCTTGAAGATCTATAAAAACATAGGTTGAAAACACCTACAAAATCTAAACTCCAAAAAAAAAAAAAATCAGAATAAACTTGGATATATACCTAATCTCCATAGTTCGCTCATCATGTATTGGGTAACTTGAAGAAGAACTCTTATCATGAGTTCCTCAAAGAACTCGACAAAGGTATCGATAACGTTCATGCCATTGCCATTAATTACTCGAAGCCATCCGCAGATAAATCTTAATAAATATTTAACAAAAATGAATGCGTTGAGTATAATTTTTCACGCTCGTACGTCTATAATCACAAAAAACAATAACTAATCATATACATTAGGCCAATACCCACGCATACGCGCGGGTTCTCTAATTTATTTATTGTTAGGTTGTGTGTTTCAGAAGTTAAATAAAAACTAATATGATAATTTAGAAATTGTATAACAATAATAAAAATCATGATAAAGAAAATTTATTTATTGATGAATTAGAACATAAGTGGAGATAACATTGTAGAATACACTTAGATATCACACAAAAGAATGTAAATAATGTTTGGTGGAGATTTGGAACTTATGATAGATGTTTGCAAAAATATACTGAAAGAGTTTAAAATTGTGAGTCATAAAAATATGTTTTAAGCACATGACTCTTAACTAGAGATGTTAAAACAGGCGAGTCCGGCCCGTTTAGACCCGTTTAGAGGTGAATCTGAATAGAGCCCGTTTACATTAAAGCCCGCCGGGCTTCTACGGCCCGTTTAAGCNNGATTAACCAAAAATCATGTGATTCAAATAAATTCAGTAATTAACGTTTTTTAATTGTAATCCTTTGTATTCAACATCTAGTAGTTCGATCTCCGACCTAGAGAACTGATAGCCCGGGGTCTGTCCGGACTACTTATAGCGACCTATTTTCATTCACCTTTCTTTGACTCAACTTTCTATACACGAAGTTCTCCGACCTCTGATCTATTATAAATTCATTGTCGATCTGTTGGATCAACAGGGTTGGCTTTTAGGAATGTTGGAGACGAGGAGAAATGAGGAATGTTGGAGACGAGGAGACAATTTAAACCGGTTGGACACTATTATAGCATTAGCGCAAGACCTTTGGTTGGACACTAAACCGATCCAATGTCCGGTTTAGGGCCTAAATGGTGTTGGAGGAATATATATATATTAAAATAATGTATGTTTTAGTTTGCACTATTTTTAAGTTCTTAATGTTTTAATGTGGAATTAATATTTTTGTTGTATAAAGCCATATTCGAATGGGTAAATGCCAAATTCGTGTAGCATTTAAAATTAGAAATTTTAGGTAAGTTTGATTATTCGAATACAATTTTAGATAACTTATAAATTTGTGC